CATACACACACACACACACACACATATACACATACATATAATAAAAATAAAACACGTAGATAGAATACAGTAGAGAAAGCTTGTGTTAGAGGCCTTTAAAAAAAAAAAAAAGAAAACAAGCAGTTAGTAAATAGAGTGCAAGTCAAAAAGGGGCTGATTTTGTTAATTGTATAATAAATAAAAAGAAAACAAATAGATAAAATACAAAAAGATTAGAGAAGCTAGGTTAGAGGCCTTTTTTCTTTTTTTTTTAAAGAAAACAAGCAGTTAGAAAACAAATAGAGAGTGCAAGTGTTAGAGGGTCAAGTGTTTTTTTCTTACAAAAAACATTTTTTTTCATAAAATAGAATTAAAATAGAGAGTGCTAGAGTTACAGGGTCACTAAAGGACACAAAGTATCTGCCAAATGACTAAACTAGGGCTGCAACAAAACACTAACAGAAAATAAATTAACAAATTTTATTATCAATTACAGTGATGTCACTATATAATAGTGGAAAAAATGCATTTACAAAGACATCGAAACTCAAGCACAAGAAAATTTCATTTTAGATATTATTTTATATTATAGATTACAAAATGTATGTATTATAGGGATGTGCATCGCCATAACTGAGGTCGATGCGATATGCATGTTGATGGAAAACACATTTACAAAGATGTTGAAATCCAAGCCTGAGATAATTTTTTGCTAATATAATATAGCACTTACATATTATATAAATATATAATTTATTAAAACTATATATATATATATATATATATGAGATAAAGACGTTTTCGCACTGAAAGAGAAGTGATCTTGCGCTCATAGAACATAAGACGTGCCAGGCTATATCTGCAGCTGTATAAAAAGCAGAATGAACTGAAACGTTAAGACAATAAACACAATAAATAAATAATTTATGAATGATGCAGTGCTAATTGACATATCATTACAGTACAGAAACAATAACTTACATTTTCTACCTTATTCTGTGCAGAAAATTGTAATAATTGTTTGTAGTATATAAAACAATCATAAAAATTGGCATTAGGAAAAAATTATAGATTACAAATTACTGATTATTGTCCAGACGTGTATTTGATTTCTTATAGCAAATTCAAAGTACGAGATAAGAAAAGAATTCCTTGAAAAAAAATAAATAAATAATACATACATACATAAAATTATTGTATTTGACATTTCTGTCACTTCTGAAAT